GGCCTTTGTTAGTCTTGTATGTTTTTTTTAATTTTAGTTCATTTATATGTTTTGGAGTTTAGTATGACGTCCATTTTCACTGAAATAGTTCACATTTTTTTAGAGGCCAGCTGGAGCCTGCCTCCGGGTGCGAGATTTTCTCGCTGTGTTGAAGACCCATTGGTGGCCTTCGGATGTTTTCTGCTATTTGGTCGGGTTGTTGTCCCTTTGACATATTCCTCATTTCCATTCTCAATTTTTTTGTAATATTTTCTTTTCTTGACGAATTGTAGCCTGCTCGTCTCGAGTCCTCCATGTTCCATCCCCGTCAATTTAAGAACTTTAAAATTGGTATTTACTGCTTGACCACTTTGCATATGAAATTAAGGATTAATAAAAAAAGGACTGGTCGGCTTGGAGTTAGAATGATGTGTTGATAATCTTTGTTCTTTTTTGCGATTACTCACTGAAACCAATTGATTCAGTTCAATGCATTTAATACACTATTTCAACACCCACTATGTCAAAACATACAAAACAAAATACAACATTAAACATGTGTTGAAGTATTAAACACCACGTAAACTCATTTTACATATTAGGCACTCAAGATATAAATATAAAACTTTGAAAGTATAAAAAGTTAAATTTATTTCAGAACAACTGAAAGATTTAGGAATGGAGACACAACTGTTTCAAGTTCAGGCGAAGGAGGCGCTTCAAATCGTGGTTAAAGGAAGAATAATATGGAAAGGCAATACAAAGTCTCTTTCAGGAGGTATGCACAAATAAAACAAAAGTACACGTAAATATCAGATAGATAACTTGATTCATAAAAGTTAAAATCAAACATATAATTGAAAAAAACAAACCATAGTTGGCCCAATGTTTCAAGTTTGAAAGATGCAATACTTATAAAAATCGTCACCCAAAAGACTGATTTCTCAAATTGTGATTATTAATTTTTCACGGTATTTTCAAGCGCAGTGTAATATGTATTTTAATCAGATAATGAACTTTCAATGCTACTTTTACACTTAGTATATGACAGACTTATCAAATAAGCAAATACTACTGCTACATGAAGTTGATTGTTACACATGCATTATGAATAAAAGGACATATTAAGTAATAAAAATAATTATACAATAATGAGATGAAAAAAAATACAAATAATATTAAGGAATCCAGAGGTCAACTCACGACCTTCACCGATAGTGTCTAGCTCTAACTACATGTAGCCCTGTATATGTAAATGTATACCTGTCATGGTTGAATAACTCTTAAATCTCAATTTCTTTTTTTTCCCGGACAGTTCCGGGCAAGCAAATGGTGATCATATGTGTAGTTCCATTCTGGAAAGAGTTTCCTCTGCTATACAGTAAAATACATCCAGTTTTGTACATTTTGACAAATTAATTCGACCGTATAAAAATATCATGCAAAATCTTTAAAGCATAATATTTGATTTTTGTTGAAATCATATGCAAAGAATTGGATATTTTTTTATGAATAAACCACTTTTTTGTTATTCACAGTATCTGTTACTTTTTTATTTGTAAAAAAAATATACCGAGACAGCAAACTGCCTTTAGCAATACATATTTTTTGTCCTAGAAAGAAATTTCGGACCAATACTACAGACGTAATTCTGGCACGGGAAAAGTCCCATGATAATTTTAGACTGGCAATAAAAAGATTAAATGAATATAAATTAGATCGTGCCAACTTAATAATGAAAACAAATGACTACTAATGGGACATTATATGAAAGATCCGCAATACAACATTCAAAAATAAAATGTTATTTTCATGTCCTGGTTGTCTCTTTAAAGTTTTGAACTTAGATGTTGTCGTTATGGTACATTGTACACATGTATATGTTAGGCCTCCAGCTGATTAAGTATGAAGTATTTTGTCAAGAAGGCAATATCCACTATTGTTCCTTAATCCTCCAATAACTGTCATTTTAAAATAGACGTCGACTGGTTGGTTCCTCTTCCACTGGCAAATTTGTAGCCAAATCCTTACACTATTCACTATTCACTGTTCAAGAAAATCAATTATTGCACAGCTCAAACATGAAATAAAATAAAGACGCACACAAAAAATCCGCTACGTAGACAACTAAATATTGAGTCCACAATCGAGGGAAAAACGGTATTGTAGCTACGACCAGTCGAGCAGTATTTTCCTCTGTGACGCAGATATACTGGTCAACCAATGACGGTTTTCCCAAATTTAAAAACTTTTTAATGGAATGTCTCAACTTTTCTTTAAAAACCCTTGATTCATTTTTCCTGGTAAGCTGCGGCAACCCTCTATCGTGATAGGAAAAGCCAGGCCTAGAATATCGTAACAACAAACTAATTGTATCTCGTTTCTGAATTTTCATGGACTTCAGTTGACTCGCTTTTAAACTGGTTGTTCGTACTTTTTACACGTCGTTGATCGTTCTTTCTTTTATACCATATATATATATATAGATTGGTAAAACTTGTTTTTGAATCTCTTCGTCTCCCAGAACAAATAAATGTACAATATATGTACATTATCGGAAAATATAAAATCTATTTGTACGAGCTTCTGAAACAGGACGAAAAAGCGAGGCTCGCCGAGTATTTCTCCTGTTTCGTAGCGAGAACAAATAGTTCAATATTTCTAAACAATGTACACATATTTTGTGTATCCAGCAATTAAACCCTTTCACTTTTACGTTTTTTTTTTTTAATTTCAAATTATTATAATTGATTTTTACAGAAATCGACATCATTAAATATGGACTGCGTAGAGGGTCACACAATGAACTATTATGTAAACAATAACGCTACGTACTGTTCTCCCAAGATAGAATCAGGATAACAGGAGACTTTGTTTGTATAGGTTTATAATAGATTTTTACAAATAAGCTAGAGGTATAGGGGGAGGGTTGAGATCTCACAAAACATGTTTAACTCCGTCGCATTTTTGCGCCTGTCCCAAGTCAGGAGCCTCTGGGCTTTGTTTGTTTTGTATGTTTTTTTTTTTTTATTTTAGTTCATTTATATGTTTTGGTGTTTAGTGTCACGACGTCCATTTTCACTGAACTAGTACACATTCTGTGTAGGGGCAAGCTGAAGCACGCCTCCGGGTGCGGGATTTTCTCGCTGTGTTGAAGACCCATTGGTGACCTTCGGCTGTTTTCTGCCCTTTGGTCGGGTTGTTGTCTCTTTGACACATTCCCCATTTCCATTCTCAATTTTATTTGAGTATAATTTTTAAAAACCTTTTTCTTTGAAGTTTCTAAGAACTTGTAAATAAGGCATGTTTATATATAAAATTAATTTATGTAGTGAGTGACGTACTGTGTTATCTTGCTACTAATAATTCAGTGAATAATAAAAAGTGTGAATAAATAGATCGAAAATACCTTTATCAAGAAGAAAAGTAAACAAATCTTTATATTACGAAATATGTGCATTGATAATGTCTTTTATGGAGTATATAAATGAACCCTGTGTGCATTAATCATCATCATATCCATACTGTGGTGAGTACAAGTAATTAAGACAACGCACGATCATCCATCTTTGCAAGGAGAATAGGGGGGAGGGATTAGATTAAGAAGTTATTGGTTTACCATGTTTACGTTGGGAAGTGAAACATAAATGGGCTTTTTTGAATTTTTGAAAATTACTATCTAATTCAAAGTTTGTAGAAAAGCAATAGTTATCCGTGCATATTGCAATTACACAAGTACATAAAATGTGTACCTACACAATATTTACCTTGAACAAATGTTTATATCACTCCGTCATTGTCCATAAGTACATTTAAACAGCCATAGCTTGTATAATTACATACTTATTAAACGCACTAAAATAACATATAGGTATAAGCAAAATTTTCACTTTATTAACAGTACTCAATATTCAATTTCCCAGTACAGTATCAAAGACATTGAAGAAGTGGTTGCAGTTAAATCTAACTCTACCTTTCAGTATAATATAAAGAATATTTTGGTCCTGATATCCAAGTAATATTTGCCACTGAATTTTATTATCAATGTATTACCATATTCATCGAGGTGAAAAAGTGAAAAGGTAGAGATCGTGTCCTGATATGCATATAATATTTGCCACTGGACGTTAAAAAAATTTTATCACCATATTCATCGAGGTAAAAAGTGAGAGGGTGAAAATCTTCTCCTGATATGCAAGTTATATTTGCCACTGAGCGTTAATACCAATTTATCACCATATTTATATAATTATCGAGGTGAAAAAGTGAAAACGGGCCGATCTTGTCCTGATATGCATGTTATATTTGTTACTGAACGTTAATATCAATTTATTACCATATTCATCGAGGTGAAAAAGTGAGAAGGTGGAGATTGTGTCATGATATCATGTTATAATTGCCACTGAACATTAAAATCAATCCATCACCATATTCACCGGGGTGTAATTGTGAGAAGGTAGAGATCTTGTCCTGATATGCATGTTATATTTGCCAGTGAACCTTAATATCAATTCATCACCATATTCTTTGAGGTAAAAAAGTTAAAAAGTGGGTTGGTGGAGATCTTTAGAAACAATTTATCCTCTCTATGTGTTCGTGTTCCTGTTTCAAGTGAAGAACCTGGTCAGTGGTTGTCTTTTGTTTTGATCTTGATTGTTGCTTTACGTAGTTTGTTGGACTCATTTGCAACTTTTAAGATTAGAAGCTTTATAGACAATATCATAGCCATACAGAAGAAAAAAAGACAAAATTAAAGACAAGTAACATTCTCCAAAACCCTACAAAGAAAACAAAGAAAAAGATTGAGCAACTAACAACCCAACAAATAACCGGGGTGAACTCAGTTCCTGCCTCAATATTAATACCCGTCGTGTTAGTTATTGGTGTAAATTAAATTACGGAGATTACTCGCATTGGACGGTGTCTCAATCAAAGCAAAAAAGGAACATTAAACATTACCGAAACACGTTTCACCAATATGTTATATATTTCATCAATTATCCGTACTTTTTTTTTTACAGAAAATGCCTATTTTACACAAGTGCAGACCATTACAGTTGATGAACCACCAGGCATGCGCGAAGGTGTTCTCGTGTTGTACACGTCGAACGTCTGCAACTACAACAGCAAATAATGGAACAAAACCAACACATTCTATTAAACCATTCAGTGAGATGCCAGAGGCACTATCAGGACCACGTTTTTTATCAATTTTTTATTTTATATATTTGTGTAAGTATAGATACATACTATTATACTCAAACACAATAGAAACGCACCACCTTTATTTATTTCTTTGAATATAAATAAGAAGATGTGGTGTGATTGCCAATGAGACAACTCTTCACAAGAGACCAAATGATACAGAAATTAATAACTATAGGTCACCATACTACCTTCAACAATGAGCATGGCCCATACCGCATACCCATAAATGGCCCCGAAAGGACAAATGTAAAACAATTCAAACGAGAAAACTAACGGCTTAATTAATGTACAAAAAAATGAACGAAAAACAAATATGTAACACAGCAACAAACGACAACCACTGAATTACAGGCTTCTGACTTGGGACAGGCACATACATACAGAATGTGCTGGGGTTAAACATGTTAGCGGGATCCCAACTCTTCCCCTAATCTGGGACAGTGGTGTAACAGAACAACATAAGAACGAACTATAAAAATCAGTTGAAAAAGGGTTAACTCATCAGATGGATACAAATAGGAATACATCTAACAAAAACACAGAGTGGACATGGCTGGGTAATTGTACATCCCAACAACAAAAAGACACTAAGTACAGATCTGAGAGTACTCGCAGCTACTGACAGCTAGTTCAAAGCCACTAACAACTAATAAAAAAATCATGCATCTAAGACTAAATTATCAATCAGTACATATCCAACATCCAATGGATTTAGTGTAAAGACGTCAGAAAAAGTCAGAAAAAAACATGACATTGTGCAATGCCAAGATACAGGTATCGACAGATTGTAGATCCATGAATGTGCATATGTATATAACAATTATAATATTTAGTTTGCTTTTAATTTACTGATATCAAAATCAATATTAATACCAATAAAAACAATATTCAAAGACCTAATTACAGTGTACATTATTAGTATTAACTTAAACTCCTTAAAAACTAACTGAAATAAGTCATAGTTATTTGACACGTTATTTCTAGAGTCAAATTTTGAAAATGAAAATTTTCTGAATTTAAACTTTTGGAATTGCATTATTTGAGACGTTTACATATTTATTCTTTCGTCACTAAGAGGAAAATGGGTCAGTAAACCATGGATTTGCGTTATTTGTGTTGCTAAGTACAATTTGATATTTGATTATAATTCATAATTATTTAAAATATTCGAAATATATTAAGAATATTTTCAAGGAGAACAAAGTTTTTTTATGTTGTCTTTTTAATGAAAGAGGTAACTAAGGCCAATTTCCCCTGCATTTATTTCACAACAGGGCAATTTTCAAAAACTCAAGTCATTTAATCTTTGAATTAGTTAAATTTGTTGTATCAATGCTCAGTATATGCATTTTAAGGTTCTAACAGTATTATGGGCTATTTTATTCAGATAGCCAATCTCATAAACACCCCAATTTTGGCTCTTTTGAAAAATCTATAAACATGCACTAAGGGTCTCTTGTTTGGTAACTTATTCATATGGTAAAAAAGAAAACACAGGAAATTAACGTACATTCACATGATACAAATCGAAGTACAATAAACTGCTTTGCCCAGCGCAGCTGGATACGACCGCAAAGGTCCATCCCTGAACAGTTGGGGGCAAAAATGGACACAATATTCGCACTTGATACAGGTCTGAATTTGGATTGTAATTAAATATTTGACACATAATAGGTTTCTGACACAGAATAACTAGTCGAAGAACTTGAATTGGTTATGTGATTTGAATTGATATTCATTTTTTTGCTTTTGTGCAATACACTATGCTGTTGCAAATTGACCCCCTCCCCTCCCTAAAAAAAATTATTGTACCCCCCCCCCTTTTTTTTGCAAAAAATAAATAATATTTGAAGAATAAAGGCAACAGTAGTATACCGCTGTTCGAAACTCATAAATCGATAGAGATAAAAACAAATCCGGGTTACAAACTAAAACTGAGGGAAACGCATCAAATATAAGAGGAGAACGACGACACAACAAAAGCACAACATTAAAATGTAACACACACAGAAACGAACTATAATATAACAATGGCCATTTTCCTGACTTGGTACAGGACATTTTAAGAAAAAAATGGTGGGTTGAACCTGGTTTTGTGGCATGCCAAACCTCCCGCTTTTAAGGCAACGTCAAACACAACACCAAAACGACAACATCACATGACAGGACCACAATACAAATAAATGGGAGAACATATAGAACAAAGAAACACACGAATAATAGCTAGCAGAAGGTACTAGGCTTAAAATTCAATACGCCAGACGTGCGTCTCGTCCACACAAGACCAACCAGTGACGCTCAGATAAAAAAAGTTTGAAAGCCAAAACAAGTACAAAGCTGAAAAGCACCGAGGACCAAAACTTCAAAAAAGTTGCGCCTAACACGGACAGGATTTTCTGCCTGGGACAAGAACATCCTTATTATATAGAATAATTTATAATGTTGCAAACAGTAAATTTTATAAAATGACTATATAATAGATATACATGATAAAACCAAAGTGGGGACTAACTACAGAATAAAAACGGATACATTACATAAAACAACTTAATCCAACATATAAAAATACACAGCCGAGTTAGCTAAAGCCTCAACGCACAAAGTGACGTCACATTTGAAATTCTTAAAAAACACACAAAGTGACGTCACATATGAATTTGTAAAAATATTTCCCAAAAATAAGATAGGATTAGGATTGATTCAAGATTAGATTTGTAATACTGCCATTGCATTTATTAATAACAATGAAAATTACAATACTTATTAATATCAAACTGTGGTAGTAATTAGATAATTAATTGTATTATCTAGCTATGTCGGTGTTTCTTCTGAATCAAACTGTAAACCAAATATATCGTATAAATTTCTTTTTAATTTCTGAAATCTTGAGAACAAATTGTCCCCCCCCCCCCACCCCCAATTTTTTTAACCTCCCCCCCCCCCCCCCCACCCTTTTTCCAAAAAACAATCTTTCCCTCAAGATATGGTCATAATCTCGATTCAAATTTCCAATGGAGTTTGCAACCATAATAACCCATTTAAATACATCATAAAAGTCTTAAAATAGAAAATGACATACATAATCATGGCTAAAATTTAATTACCTTCATCAGCATTTTTAAAATAGTAACTTCTAAAAATATATTGACAGCTAATCACCTCAAGACAATACAATATTTCTTTGTACATAATTTAAAAGCAGTGTAAGGGAGGTAATTCAAAATGATGAATTTGAATTACTTCCCTTACTCTGCTTTTAAATTATGTTTTGTACTTAAGTAATTGTCCATTAACCAGGACACCCTTGTTTTTCCCCCTTTTTTTTGCCCCTAATTCCTAAACGGTTTGAGCCATAACCCCCCAAAGCCATTTTTTACCATCCCTTTGTGGTATGGAAACTTGTGGTATAATTTCAGAGAGATCCATACACAATTCCACAAGTTATTGTCTGGAAACTAGAAAAATGCTTATTTGGGCCTCTTTTTGGCCCCTAATTCCTAAACTGTTGGGACCATAACCCCCAAAATCAATCCCAACCTTCCTTTTGTGGTCAGAAACCTTGTGTTAAAATTTCATATATTTCTATATACTTATACTTAAGTTATTTTGCGAAAACCAAATGTCTCCGGACGACGCGGACGACGACGACGACGACGTGATACCAATATACGACCGCAAAATTTTTTGTGGTCGTATAAAAACTAGTTAAAATTACAAAAATTAAAAATGTGTGAGTTTTTTCCATAAAATTTGATTTTGTCATATTTATCTTTCCATTATCAAGATATCACAAAAAAGAGCCCAGTAATGACGTCATACTACACGATGATGAAACAGAGGCACGGTGACATATGGAAACAAAACATCAACATCGGAAAGGGAGACAACAAATATATTGTTATGGTCGGTCATCCAGACTACGCTAAAACAGTATTCCAAGCACCAGAGACAGAACACAGGAGATTTAAACTACAATTAATAGACCTTTTGACAAAGAAAAACAATTTTCCAAAATCTTTGGCGTTACTGTACGTATTTTCAAACATTATCACAGTTAATTTCTTGATTTATATATTTTAACTTACGTAAATAGAATGCACGAGTAATTTTCAAAGTTCAAATCAGTGTAAAATAAACATAGGGAATCACAAAAAAAGTCTTTTAGGAGCGTGGCAAGGTCAGTCAACAGTGTACGCCCAGACTGCTATGCATTCATCACCCTTTATATGAAACTCATATAAAATTGTTAACCCAAAACGTACTCACGGCATAAATGTCTCTCTTAGTCTGAGCATGATCTAATTACAAATTACTTAATCAAAATTGAAACAAACTGGGTTTTTTTAATTGATTATTCCCTTCTGAAACAAAATGTTTTTTCCCATATGCATGTATTTTTATTGTCATTGACAGGGACGGAAAAGAATGGGAAGAGCAAAGAAAGCCGACACAAGAAAAGATGTTGCGTCCTGCTGTTGTGGCGAATTACGTACCTCTAATTGAAAAAGTTACCAACGATTTCATTGAGAAACTAGGAAGGAAAGAAAAAACTGAAGATTTGTTTACAGATTTGCTCAACTATGCGACGGAAAGTTTGTATGATTTTAAAGATAACTATATTTTGGTATTATTCTTTGACAGGCGTATAGAAAACGGATGCAGCCAGTTTCGAGATTTCGCGTTGTATATTTTAAGGAAAGAAGGCGAAAATTCAAAATGCAAAATCGTGAAAACGCAAAAATGCAAAGACGAAATCACGAAAATTTCATTTCGCGATTTTGCGTTTTTGCTTGTGCGATTTCATGTTTTGCTCTCTTAATTTAGCATTTTTCGCGTTATCGCCTGTTTTCTTACAAAAATACAACGCTAAATCGCAAAAAAACTGTAACCCAGATCATCCGTGTGGTTCATGCTTCAGTTTATCGGCGTGTACAAAACACCCGCACTGAAATTAAAGCACGGGGCGGCGGTGGAATATTGACGGGTCAGTATAAATATTTCATAAAATTTTAACTTGTTTACAAATTTTTGAATTTTATTTCAATTATTTATACTTACCAGTCAGAAACATACTTTTGGATAGATTCCAAAGCAGTCCATCCTACTGAACTGGAGGCGTATGCTGTATAAATTTCTGTCATCTAAATTGTACCATATTAGTTGAGCAGCTTACCACAAACATCATGCAAATGGTGATACAAGCATGAAACTTTGTAAGAACATACCTTTAGGTGTATTTAATCATATTAAAGGGATCGCCACAAAAAAATACCATCCCATCTTGACGGCCATCTTTGATTTTCAAAATGACGTCTATCCAGGTAAAAGACATCAAATGAATGTTCCCTTCTGCATACATATTGCTTGTATTTTATTCAAAATGTTACTAGATAGAGTGAATGAAGGTGTATTTGTCTTATTGTAGTTATAAAACATGACATCCGGACAAATATCGGTAGATAACTCACTTGGTTTTATGAATATCTTACATTTGATCCATACTAGAAAGTGATTTATTTGCACTACCAGAGCACACTGTCAGCTTTATAAGATTAAAGTGCTCCCAAATACTCCATGATTGATAAAATTATTAAGTCATGGAGTCGTACCTGAATCGACAGGATGTTCTAACGCGAGAGAGCCGAGCCAAGGAGGAGGGGCTTATTCCTCTGGATGGTGTACAGATCGCATATGGTAGTTAAATGATGCTGGATGAACGATCGGGCTGAATGTAGGCAAACTTTTAATTGGGTTAACCGAATTTAGTTATATCTCATACAACAAACTGCTATACAGGTGGTAAAAGGATAATCACTCGACCTGAATATCAGACGTATTAAGATATTTTATTTAGACAATATTTGCGTTATTGTTCTATCGTTACATTGTTGATCTCTTTAGTTTTTTTATATAATAGTTGATTTTTTGAATTGGCGAAAAGAGTTCGCTTGTCAGCTTCCTCAACAGATATTTATAGTTGGGAAATTGATTAGACAAAATGTGTATGTCAAGAAGACACAAACGACCTAATGAAATCGGCAGCTGTAGGATATACAATAATGGGCAAAAATATCCCTCATTTTCATGAAATAAATGCACTCCCTATCCTTCAAGATATTCGCCGATTAAACGACGGAGAGGGAATTGAAAGCAGAATGAAAAAGAAAAATGATAAGTGTCATAATTTGTGCAGAATAAAGTTAAACAATGCAAAACTTTAGAGAGCCCAGAAACGCAATATGTTACCAATGCCATCTGGAAGTTCGAGTGAATGCAAGTTCCCCTAAAGTTTTGAAAAGTTCTCTTCGTTTGAAAGACCAACAACCAGATCCCGTTGAAAATTTGCATCAAAGTTTCATTTGTAATAAAGAGTTGCCTTTATCCGCAATGACAATGAAACTGAACCAACTATTAGTGGATTGTGCAACAGTTCTACAAGATAAACAGCTATTGGCAAAACTAAGTAGTGGTCATGTTATAACACAAGAATTGAGAGAGAGAGAGAGAGAGAGCAAATAAGAGACAAAAATAGGCCGAAAGCATTTGTACTCATGAGGAAAATATGATGAAAGAAACTGCATTAGCTGAGCTAGTTACATACATCTTTGAAACTCAACGAAATTCTGAAGATTCAGTGGTGTGTTGATTAGCAGCCCTGGCAAACCTATACGGCGAAAGATTGACACAACTTGGTTCTTATTATATTGGACTGTCACGTAGTGTTTTAGCGATTTTTTTTAACATTGTCATAAAGCGGAAGGTTTGGTATGCCATCAAACCTGGTTCAACCCACCATTTTTTTCTTAAAATGTCCTGTACCAAGTCAGGAATATGGCATTTGTTATCAAATAGTTTGTTTTTTATGTGTGTTGGCGTTTGTTTTTGTTGAACTTTGGTGTTCCTGTTGTTCCTTTGTTTTCCTCTTATAGTTGATGTGTTTCCCTTGGTTTTGGTTTGTAACCCGGATTTGTTTTTTTCTCAATCGATTTATGACTTTTGAACACCGGTATACTACTGTTGTCTTTATTCTCTTGCACATGTACACTCTACGCCCTTAATATAAAGAACAAGTTTTTTGCAGAAGATGCCAGAACTAGAAGCATACACAAAAAACAGAGATGTCCTTGTGATGTTTGAAAAAGATATAGGACCAGCTTTCTCATTTGCTTGCAACTACAATGACACCATACATATGATAAAAGACGGCCGTAATGATTCGCTGCCAGTAAGCTACCAAGAAGACAACATTTTCTGGATCCTTGGTCTTTGAAGATATCGATGACAGCATACCTCCTTTGTTACAGTTGGTGAAAATGATAGAACATGGACCTGAAAATAAATCGCAATTAGACAACGTTTCTACAATGTTCGACTTAGCTCTAGCCCAACTATTAATGTTTAATTACCATGCAAACACCCAGAGGGCTCAAGTACAACATAGACATTCCGCTGATCGTGTGGAACCATTTTGTGTGTATCTTGGACTATTACTCTTAGCAAAAACCAGGAAGAGACAGCTTATAGATACATTATTTCAACATGGGTTATGCATCTCTTGTGATCAGGTACTGAATATATCAACTAAACTAGGTGAAGCTGTAGTTGAACGTTTTTTGAATGAGAGTGTGGTTTGTCCGCCTTTATTCAATTGCAAGGTGTTTACCACAGCTGCGGTCGATAACATAGACCACAATCCAGTTCAAAAACATCAAAATAATCTTTTCATCGGACCAGAATCTCTACTTTTCAACATGCAATGAAAGAAAATGTTGGTGTTAGAAGGGATCAGATAACATTACTTACAAGTAAACCAAAATCTAAAAAGGTACCTGAACTCCCTGATGCTTACATGAATATGAAACCTGCATATCTTAAAACAAAAACAGAACCACTTATTCTGCCCGCGGATTTTACTGCCATTCTTAACTACTCATGAGTTTACAGAATGAGTATGAGTGGTCCTTGTAATCACGAGGAAGCAGACACAAGGATATTTGTTCAAAAGTGCAACTGAAAGGGGGTGTAAGTCGACACTGAAAACCAGCCTAGCTCAGTTTTTTTTCAAGAAACTACAAGTAGAAAAACTTTGGGCGGCATTTGGAAAAGGAAAAGACCTGCAAGATGGCATCCGATTCACGAAATTGATCATGCTTTTGGTTCTAAATCAGAGGTTTTGCCATTTTTCCAATCTTGAACTGAACGTGACACTGTCTTTACTTTTCTTTGAAAGGGAAAGAAGTCGACAAGGACGACGTGTGAAATATTTGATGACGTAACCGAAGTGTTTGGGCGATTGAGTAAGAAACCTGCATTGGTCAGTGAAGCTGATATGGAGTTGATAGAGGCATTTGTTGTAGTTATGTACGACAGACCCACAATAACATTTGACATCAATGAATCCAGGCTTAAATTGTTTGTACGCAACGCAAACAAAGACAGTATGGCACAATTCCGCCCATCAGAGCTGCACTGCTTGAGTACACCAAACGAGCTGCATATCAAGGTGGTAATATATGGGGACAGGCAGTCACACATGAACAACGTCTACTTAGTCTGGGCGAATGGGGATGAATTGATGAGACCGCAGATGGGTTGTGGATTCCAAATTGGACAAAATTAGCAGCCATTGCAGCATCTTGCCAGGAGTTACACAAATGTGGATGCAAGAAAACTTGTTTTGGTAGATGCAAGTGCTACAAACCTGGTTTGACATGTACAAAATTGTGTTCCCGTAGCTGTTAGAACAAAATACATCGGATAAAACATTAATTGACCTTCCTGCATGTCTTTAATAATTAACAATATATCAAACGGACATTTTTACAGCATATCCTGACCACTATTATTTAACTCGATCATATGAAATTTTACAACCCTAACCGTAAGTGGTGATTTTTTTCTACAATTACTGTCTGTTTGGCATATTTTCATGTCATTTTGATGTATTTGAAATAGTTGTCATGACCTTTATCAGATTAAAAAGGTGTGGATCTGTTTTCAAATTTCAAATATTTAGCAAACTGATGTCAATTGTAAATACAAGATGGCCGCCAAGAAAAAATTCAAAAGATGTTGGCTACCCCTCTAATATGCTAAAGTACACCCTTAAGAACGTATGTGCCAAAGCCTATGCTTGTTTCACCATTTGCATGATTTTGTCAACTTTCGGTATTAAGCCGCCCCACTATATGTACAAATGTCTATATATAACACATCAATAGTTCAACACAAAATAATGTTCATCATGAAATCATCATATTTAAAATACTTCCACCAATAACAAATTCTTCAACGCAACTCGCCGAAAAATTTAACATATTTACAAATTGTCTAATACATCGAATGACAAATCTCTGAGATAGAATTTTCCAAATGTTGACTCTGAACTCCAATCAGCTGCTTCTAAAATAAAATTTATAGATGCACCTTTGTATAAAGCCCAAGAGGGTCCAATTGCTCTAGTTGAATGTGCCTTGATATTGTTCAATGAAGAATCAGGGTACGCTAATTTAATCACTTAAACGATCCATTTAGAAATAGTTTGTGACGTTACAGGCTTATGCGGTTCACATGTAGAAGGGAAAAGTTTTCC